ATTAAGCACAGTAGAATTTAGAATGTAGACAACACTGTAGACAACACTGTAGACAGTGTTGTAGTTAAGATCTGGATTTGTGTCCCAGTCTATATCAACTGTGTCTTTAGCCTCTCTGAATCTGTTTCGACACATAAGAGATAGAAATAATAACTAATAGGGATGTAATGAAGTTCAAATAAAAGCTTGTGATAGTAGATTATAAAGGCTCTACAATGGTATATTCTCTATTGAAACTGGTAACTGTGCATTAACATACACAGGATATTTCCTTCCTTCCTTTTGCTTTTTTTTTATTCTAGAATCTAAACACAGGGGATACATGATTTACCATTTTATTGTGGAAAGAGCTTTCACCCTTATATGGAACATGGCAGCAATCATTCTCCTAGATCTAAATGACTGAATTGCAAGGTGAACTGTGTTGGTGACTAACTCATTTTCCTTTACCTCCAGCACCCTCTTTTCCCAAGACCAAGCAATTTTCCTGTGTAATGAACTGTATCTTCTATCAAGTGGCCTGGAAATTAAGAGGTCCAAGGCATCTCCCAAGTCCTCATTTTCTATCTGGTATCATGATGTCTTTTGCTGTTACATCCACTGATCTATGTTTTCAAAGCTATACAAAGGAGAAATGCAGAAATGAATGAAACTACAGAGCAATTTTATATATAGGGGAAAACATTCAATTGATTTTGAATTATTCAGGGGATGGTTTTCCAGTTCATGGGTCATCAAATTCTTTGCATCAAATGCTTTTGTCTGGTTGATAGCCTTTTGGTCAGTCTGATGCTAACACCGGGAGAGGAGCAGATGCAACAAGCACATGCTTTGAAACCAGCCACCACCAAAAATATATTTTAGTGGCTCTATTTATGTCTATAAGATCCCCAAAGTCTGGAGAATATAAGTTCAAGGCAAGACAAAAACATACATAAACTAGATATTATGAAAAAAAGGAGGAAATTCATTTTCTTGATTTACTATGACTTCTACAGGAAGAGAAAATAAAACAGGGAAGAACTATAATCAATTTATTCAATCATCTCAAAAAATTATAATTATATTTTTCTGATATGGTCAATGTTTTTATGAGTAGCTTCTTATACTAATCATTTCCACTATTAATAAAGTTTATGCTGAACATTTGATGTTTTATTCATATATTACTTTATGGCATTTACTAAAAGTGTCACCAGTTAGCTAGTTGAAATACCTGACAGAAATTCTTTCATATTATTATGACATTTGAGAAGCAGTAACATTGATTAATGACTTTACCAATCAAAAGCACAGTATCACATGGGTAGTTTCAGGAAATAAGTTGTACTACTAAAGAGAAAAGATACTTATTTAATGACAAATTAATTCAATGTACATAAAATGGCAAAATTATATAACTATTTAAAACATTAAAATAAAATAAATTGTTAGTTGAAAGTAATAGCAAAGCATGTTGAATAACACGTGCTTTCCATACTATTTTAACTATAAGTGATTTTTGTAACTAAAATATGGCTACTGACTGGTGGTCATAGGGGAGGACAGTAGGGGGATGGGTGAAATAGGTGATGAAGATAAAGAGGTACAAACTTCTCATTATAAGATAAATAAGTCAGCCCAGGGAATATAGTAATATTGTAGTATCTTTGTATAACAGCAGATTGTAACTACACTTATTCTGGTGAGCATTTAGTAATGGATATAATGTTAAATCACTATGTCGCACACCTGAAACCAATATGAATATAATCAGCTATATTTCAATTAAAAAGAAAAGTAAAATATGGCTACTGAAGATAAAACAACATAATTATCTATACAGAGAGCAACAATATAAAATATCAAAGCTAGAGATAAAATAGAAATTTGATTTGTTGTGGGAATTTTTATGATCTATAGAAACACTTTATAAAGTAACCTAGAAAAAAAACATGATTAAATTCAATTGCATTTGAGAGTTAAGAGAACTCCTTGGCCAAAGTCTAGGCAGATAATTTCAGAGACAAAAACTGGTCATAAAATTAAAAACCGTCCTTTGCAAAACCTTCAAAAATAAACAGCAAATAATTTTCATAACCATGTCATGATAGATTTAACATAATAGTCAAATATTTGATAGATCATTTCAATTCAGACTTTTTACTCTGCCTTTTGTATATTTTTGATACTATCACTGTTTAAAAGCATCTCTTGTCAGAGGGTGTATGAGAGAAAGGAAAGTGAGAAAAATAACCCAATTTATGTTACCAAAGTGAGTTAATATTACAGAGGCTCTAATAAAATATGAAAGATATAATTATTCAAAATTCATTAATATGACTTTGGAATTTCTATATTGATAGATTCATACAGTAAAACTTAAAAATTCTTTGTCTTACAATGTTCAAAATAATTTGCCCATACACGTTCTCATGTGATCCTCACCAGAACTCTGTGAATATATAGGGGATTTTAGTTTATGCAGGAAAATTAGGTTTGATTCTGCAGAGAAAGAACTCAGACTCAGAAAAGTTAGGTGATTTGCCCAAAATTATAGTAAAGAGTTGAGTATAGACTCTCAAATCCCATCCATTATCCACCCATCCACCCACCTATCCACCCTTCTTTTGCTAATATTGAAATTGTTCTTCCGTTTCTTAAGTGCCCTTTGCCAGATACAGGCAGTCTTGATAAAGGAAAGCAAGAAAAACCACCTGAAATTAAAAATTTACCACAGAAAACCAACAAAATGTAAAATTGGCTAGAATTGTATGGTTTGGATGTGGATCACAAGTAAAAATAGTGGCTAAGAGAGATTTGTAATTCAGATGAGGCTATGCCTGTGCCCATCGCAGGGCTAAGACTTGACTATATATGCAACTTGCAGATTTCATTGGAATCACTTTATCATAATTCTGAGTACCGAAGTCTTTGTAGCTTACCTCTTATGAATAATCTTAGACCTAAAACAATTTTCAAGAGGATTATCTAGCCCTTTGGATCCATTATTAAAAATCACCATTATTCACATTTTTGAATAGATAAATGTGCTCATGATACAAAATTCAAAAGGTATGAAGATATTCAGTACAAAGTAAATCTTTCTCTCCTGTAGTTTAGGTTCCCAGAACTACCCTCTAAAGGCAAAAGTTGCTACCATGTCTTTGTTCAAATATTTCATGCACTTAAACACATGTGTGTGTAATTGTATGTGTTTGTGTATAAAAGAAATGGTAGCAAACTATACAAACCATTCTTTAGCTTACCTTTAACTTTCCTTTTCATCTTTGAAAGCTTTTCAGATCACCTGCTTCATTAAAAAAAAAATGATTGCATAGTATCCTAGGAATTCCTTTGGGTTTCTTTCAAATTTATTTGATATTCAAGTATATTTACTCAGGAATTCCCAAATTGCTAACTTTTGCTAGCATATAAAAGGGATCCTTGCAGTTAACTGATTATTTTACAAGAGCAAGCAAGAACTTGAAGCTTACAAAAATGCTAAATACTGTTATTAGATGTTTATTCAAAAAACTCCAGTGATAAACTTATTAGAATCTAAATGAAATACAAACTGTTCACTAATAAGGAAATTTTAAATAAAGAAATGTATACACACACACACAATTTTATTTTTGTAATACCAGACATGAAAAGGCTTTAGTAGTCTCAAAATCCAAAACTAGAATGATTATTGGTTTAGTTCAGTATGGAATTTATTTCATATTTATATGTTTTCATAAACATATTTATATATGTTTATATATGTTTCATTATAAGTGTTTTTCTATTTACATATTCTACAACATTGTGTGAGTCATATGTTTCTAATCAGTGTGAATAAGCTAGTAATATTCAAAAATGTCTAATGATGGTGAGACAGTCATATATTTTTAGTAGTATCATATACTGGCACAATCCTTTTCAAAAGCAAGCAGACAATACAATATTTTTAAAAGATACAAGCATTTTCATTCCCATGGACTAAATGATTCCAGTTTTGAGAATATTTCCCCAGAAAATGATAAAAAACAAACTATATAACAATAGTGTTCATTCTTCACAAAACAAAAACTGGAATTTAAATGTTCAGCAATATGTAACTGGTTTAGTAAATCATAGCATAACAATTTGAGGAGTATATAGTCAAGCTAAAAAAAATTCGAGTATAAAGGTTATGGTCATGTATAGAAAATGTGTGTGATAATGTTATGTGAAAACAGCCTAATACTAAATGTTATGTAGTTCTCATACACAAATGGAAAAACTTAGGCATTTTTATAACTATATAAACATACACGTGAAAGAAGATTGAATGACACTTGTGTTAGAGCAGGAATAGGGCTGTTTTCACTCTAAGTGCTATGTAATGTTAGAGTGGACACATCGAAGTGTCTCCTCATACCTCCTCTGAGTTGATACCACTTTCATGCACAACAGTTAAGTCCTGAAAGAAAATAAAACAGAAGCAGAGAGAGATGCAAAGTAAGGAGAGGCCCTGCCTATATATCTAAAGGCAGTCCAACTCCTCACTTGTGAGAGCTATCCACTCCCCTACTCATTTTATTCAAATACACACACACACAACCTCCTCTCCTACTCCGGCATTTTATTCAAACACACACACACACACACACACACACACCCTTATTATAAATTCCTATCTTTTTTGCTTGGGCCTGTTTGAATTGGTGTCTGTTAAAAACAACCCAAGAAATAGTTGATAGTTTTTATATTTCTTCCATAATCTTTAACATGTCATCTAATTGCATTGCAAATACTGTTATTTATCCTAGGATAGTATATTTATTTATTGTGTAGACAATTCCTGAGATAGTATAAGCTGACATAAGCCAACAGTATTTCGAGACTATAAGAAATATCCCAACTAATGTTAAACAAACAATATGTTAGTATCATCTCTTTTCTTTGCCCTGTAATTAGAATGATTCGACCTATGCCTGAGTGATAATTTCAGGGATAAAAATTATCTTTTAGCTGAGCAGAAAGGCACTGTGGAGAAATTCTAGTGGATTAGCTCCTAATATCTGACTCTGATCTTTACTTAGAATTTACCTTTGTTGTGTTACCTATCATTTACTGTCTTCCAAATGTGCCAGGCACCATGTAAAACACTTCACATACAATATCTCATTTGCTCTTCATGAAATCTCTCCAGAATGATTCAAGAACGGCAATGAACTTTCACTGTTTTCCGTAATTTTTGAGTATGCCTTCCCATGAAGCAGGCATTGCTTTTGGTAACAGAAATGCAAAGATGAAAAGCTCAGATGAAGCGAGGAGTGTTACTTATGTAACACATAAAGTAAAAGTGGTAAGTGCTACAACAGTGGTACATACAAGGTGTTCTGAAGTATGGGAGGGAATAACTAGCTAAGTGGGGCTGGTTATCTAATTCCCAAGAATTCTGATACAACTGGAAAAGTTCTGAGATAATCTGAAATCCAAAGAAATAAAACTAATCTGCCTTCTCGGAAATATGTAAAGTAATCTGGAAGACAGCAGAATCTGAGAGGAGATGCTGCTAGCTTTTGTGACTTAGGCTGTAGTAAACACAACAGTGGAAAAAATAGTGGAGAAAAAAGATACATTGAAGACTCCTTATCTTCATTCATTTATCATATAATTTTGATGGTCTGCCATGTACTGAGGAAGCATTAGCACCTGGAAAGACCACTACAAGAATGTATATAAGTTGAAACAATTTCATTACTATTGAAAACATTGGAAATATTGTGCTTTTTTATACTGCTTAAGTTTTAATAATAGTATTACACTACTTGTTGATATAATCTGGAAATGTTATTCTTCACCTGTGCTTCATTTGCATAGTCACATCTTGCTTTTCCTTGCTGGGTTGTTCCTTGCTAAGTGATTATTCAAAATTAAAAAATTAAGTTCTCTCAATGCTTGCTTTTCTGCTTTTTCTCTCCATGCGCTAGAACACTAACATCTTGTGCAATGTGGATACTCTTGACTTTTTAAAAATCCTTTCATGGATTACAATTGCTTATATAAGGTCCCCAATCCTCAGTGTATTCATATCTCGTTCCTCCTTACCTACCACTACAGTCTCATCTGGAATAAATTATATTTATTCAATGTTTTCATTCTATTGGATTTGCCCCCAAAAATCACTGTACTTTCATCTGGGGAGTTTTGCCTACACTGTGACTTCTGTCTTGCCTGGTTCTCCCAACAAATTCCATCAGTTCTCCAAGAAAGACTTGCTAGACTCCAGGTTAGTTTAGATGTCTCTCCCATGTACCATGTACACTGCATCTCCTGGACATTTGTCTAACAGCTTCTTTGTTAATCTATTTCTTCCACAAACCTGTAAGCTTCTTGAGGCCAGGGACTGTATTAAGCATTTATAGTCCCATACAGCATCTGCCACACAGAATATGCTGAGAATCTTAGTTGAATAAATGAGCCAATAAATAATAATTAAAAGTTCCCTGTGGCACAATACTAACATTACATAAAAATGACCAATTATCATAATGCTGTAAAGTTGCTTGTAAATTAAAGATGAACAAATTAATCAATAAAAATATACTTCTCAACCATGAAACTTAAATCCTGTATACTTTGGTAGTCAGGATAGCAGCTCCCAAAGATGTTTAAGGCCTGATTACAGGAACCTAGAATATGTTGTTATGTGTCAAATGGGAATTCAGATTACAGGAAGAATTAAGCTTGCCAATCAGCTGATCCTGAAATGGAGAGATACCCTGAATTATCTGGTTTTAATTTAATCACAAAGGCCTTATAAATGGAAGAGGGAGGCAGAAATAGAACTAGTGAGCTGGCAAAATGAGGAGGACTCTGCCTAATGCTGGTAGCTTTGAAGATGGAGGAAGAGGGCCACAAACCAAGGTGGGAGGCCTTTAGAAGCTAGAAAAGATCCTCCCTAGCGCCTGCTAGAGGGAACCCAATCCTACCAAAACCTTGATTTGGGCCTGGTGAGATCCATTTTGGACCTCTAACTTCCAGAGCTGTTAAGATAATATATTTGTGTTATTTTAAGCCACTAAGTTTGTGGTAATTTTTTACAGCAGCAATAGGAAACTAATACACATGCCTATATCAAACAGGATTAACTCTGGCTGCGTATTATAGAAAACCTAAGATAATGGTGGCTTAAAGTAGATGTAAGTTTATTTCTCCCTTTAGAAGAGATCCGGAGGTAGGAAACCCAGGGCTGGTTATGGTATTCCACAGCGTCAAGGACTCAGGTTCCTTCAATCTTGTTGCTTTGGCTTTTTTAATCTTGAAGAGCTCTAACCAGCAGGTCCGATTCCAACCAGCAATAAGAAGAGAAAGAATTTTTCAGTGACTTTTGAATTACTTCAACGTTGCATACACCACTTCCACTTCTATTTCACTGGCCAGAACTGAGTATTCCAGTAGCACCTAGGCACGTGCATGGGCCATTCAAGCAGCCTTATGACAAGAGTGGAGGGTTCTATTAGTAAGAGGAGGAAAAAACATACTGGAGACAAACAGCTATCTACTTTAATACTGTAGTCATGTGATATTTTTCCCTCTCATTGTTTTAAGGATATAAAAGTAGTCTTTCCTAAATACCAGATCAATTAGGGCAGGGGCCTTTATTCTACAAAGAGTTATTGAATAATTATTATATAATAGGTTTTCAAAGTATCTGCCAGATTTTACATGTACACACATTAGAATATGAATACATACTTGGTCAATGGATGACATTAAGATATTTATATCACATTCAAGCTTTAGTGTTGTATTTAATGGAAACAGAATTCTTAGTTGGTAAGAAATAGGTTAAAAATACTTTTTATTTACTCTGAAGCCTGGCAGAAAACAGATGGTGCACTCAAAGGGCAAACTGAAGAGTTTGACGAAGAGATTATTTACAGAGATGTGGGCAGGCTTTAGGGGAATCGATAAGGGAAAAGGTACCCAAGGACTCAAAACAGGATGAAACTATCACCATCTCTAAGCCTGAAGGGACCAAAGAAAGAAACAGTTTCTGGAACTTGCCAAAACTTGGAGCGATGGGACAGGGATGTCTAACTAGAACCACAGCCTTAGGTAGAGGAATGAAGCTACTGCCAAAAGTCATAGACAGGCAGGAGGGGGTGTGAGAGAAGGTGAAATAAATATCCTGACCTCTCTCTCTTTCCTTCATTTGCCAATGCTTCCAAATTAGCTGAAGCCAAATAAAAACCAGAGGGCAAAGGAGCCTGGGTGATTTGGTCCATAGAAATCAGACTCTCAGAGCAGAGAGGTGAAGAATGGACTTTAAGGGACAGGGAATAGCCAGCACAATATGAAAAAGCAAAGCATTTTATAGACTTGGGATGATTCAAAAAACCTTGAACAAAGAGAAACAGGGAATTAATCCAAATAGATCTGTGTTAGACCTAGGACAAATAAAGATGGAGGAAGAGAAGGATTAAAAGGTAAAACAGTTGAGAGTGGCACAGTGTGTGCTCTATGTGTGTAAGTGGGGTAAAGAGAGCAAACAAAGAAATATGGAGTGCTGAGTGGAAGAAAAGAGGTCTGACCAGGGATATTAAGGTTGAACACAGGATGTTCCTTGTTATCAACTTTTTCAAAGAGTTCAACATAAGGCGGGGTATGTAAAACCTGCTATTGACTGAAAATACTTCAAATGCATTTACTCCAGAAATTGAACAGTGGCAATGATGGTAAGTGAGGATCTGTGGAACACAGAAGGCCAGTACTGTAGGTCAAAGATATAACTATACCTGTAGCAGGATCAGTCAGCTACTTAAAGAGTCAGGATGCAGGAGAAAAGAAATACATGGAGACAAAGAGGGAAAAAATAGCAGTAAAAACTGGATATCAGACCTACAATTATCATGGTAAAAACTTAAAATTTACTCAAACCCAAAATATGCATGCTGTTCTCTCTAGTACAAATTATCTACCAAAAGTTGTTAAGTATGAAAACAAATGCTACTCATGTTCATAAGCAGTATCAACAATAGAAACTATTATCTCTTACCTGTGGAGGTAGCCTTTGAAAACAATCATTTCAGTAACTGTGACTTTATGGAATAGATCAGTTTCACTTTTTGGATATTTGTTAACATCCTTTAAACATCTCTTTCTACATTTGTTTCCACTTATATCTATGTTATACACGTTCTTAAAAATCCGGCCCCAAAATAATAAGCTATATGCATTAACATTTCATTGACTTACATTAAAACTAGGAGCCTTATTCCTGAGAGAGATAAACCATTTTGTGCTGCTAAATATAATAAAATCACATGGATGTTTGGGGGAAAACATTTGTCCCTTCTGGGAGGCTTTATTAGAAAAGCTGGTGTGGGTCCTGAAGACAGCTGCGGGTTCCATTCCGCACCACCCAGTAGTCATGTTTCCTTCCTGACTCAGTGATGGATGGTGAAATAAATATCCTGACCTCTCTCTCTTTCCTTCATTTGCCAATGCTTCCAAATTAGCTGAAGCCAAATAAAAACCAGAGGGCAAAGGAGCCTGGGTGATTTGGTCCATAGAAATCAGACTCTCAGAGCAGAGAGGTGAAGAATGGACTTTAAGGGACAGGGAATAGCCAGCACAATATGAAAAAGCAAAGCATTTTATAGACTTGGGATGATTCAAAAAACCTTGAACAAAGAGAAACAGGGAATTAATCCAAATAGATCTGTGTTAGACCTAGGACAAATAAAGATGGAGGAAGAGAAGGATTAAAAGGTAAAACAGTTGAGAGTGGCACAGTGTGTGCTCTATGTGTGTAAGTGGGGTAAAGAGAGCAAACAAAGAAATATGGAGTGCTGAGTGGAAGAAAAGAGGTCTGACCAGGGATATTAAGGTTGAACACAGGATGTTCCTTGTTATCAACTTTTTCAAAGAGTTCAACATAAGGCGGGGTATGTAAAACCTGCTATTGACTGAAAATACTTCAAATGCATTTACTCCAGAAATTGAACAGTGGCAATGATGGTAAGTGAGGATCTGTGGAACACAGAAGGCCAGTACTGTAGGTCAAAGATATAACTATACCTGTAGCAGGATCAGTCAGCTACTTAAAGAGTCAGGATGCAGGAGAAAAGAAATACATGGAGACAAAGAGGGAAAAAATAGCAGTAAAAACTGGATATCAGACCTACAATTATCATGGTAAAAACTTAAAATTTACTCAAACCCAAAATATGCATGCTGTTCTCTCTAGTACAAATTATCTACCAAAAGTTGTTAAGTATGAAAACAAATGCTACTCATGTTCATAAGCAGTATCAACAATAGAAACTATAATCTCTTACCTGTGGAGGTAGCCTTTGAAAACAATCATTTCAGTAACTGTGACTTTATGGAATAGATCAGTTTCACTTTTTGGATATTTGTTAACATCCTTTAAACATCTCTTTCTACATTTGTTTCCACTTATATCTATGTTATACACGTTCTTAAAAATCCGGCCCCAAAATAATAAGCTATATGCATTAACATTTCATTGACTTACATTAAAACTAGGAGCCTTATTCCTGAGAGAGATAAACCATTTTGTGCTGCTAAATATAATAAAATCACATGGATGTTTGGGGGAAAACATTTGTCCCTTCTGGGAGGCTTTATTAGAAAAGCTGGTGTGGGTCCTGAAGACAGCTGCGGGTTCCATTCCGCACCACCCAGTAGTCATGTTTCCTTCCTGACTCAGTGATGGAGAAGGTGGTAAAACTGTAGCAGTGAAATGATCACTGTTCTCACGTCTCACTGTGAATCACATATCCAGAGTCACCACTGAGCCAAAGATTGAGGAGCAACTTTAGAGGAATTCCAAATCCTGGACTTTGATGGGTAACATGCATATTTATTTTTTCCTTTAAGGCTCTAAGATTAAATGTTAATACAATTAGTTAATGCAATATGTTATCCTTTCATGGACGTAACCAACTTTGTATTTTGATGAAGATTATAGAACCATTATTTTAAGTCGTACTTCTTAAATGTGTTCAGGAAGTGAGGTACATGGAAATCATACGCTCAATGTGGAACATCATGAAATATCTGTATTTTAAACTTAAAATAATTTTATGTCAAAGTTTATCCTAACTTATGGATGAATCATCTATGGAAAGCAAACAGCACGTGCAAGGGGTTTATGAAAAATTTATAGAAAAAACTCAGTATTCAAAATATTCTACCCATGTACATTTTCCCCTATAAATTTAGATAAAGCAACCGTAATTTCAATAAACGATTATTTTTGTCTGCTTAGATTTCAGTTTTGTAAAATAATGTATTATCTACTTGGTGTTGTGGAACCCACAAGCTGTTTTCAACACCAAAGGAAGCTTAGTAGGTAGGTACAGGGCAGGCCCTTTAGGAAGAGAAAACAGCATGTGTGATTCTTCCTAAGTTTAAGTGCAGGGAAATGTGTGTGCTACAGTTATATTTTTTCCTTTCTGACTGGAAGTTAAGAGCAGCTGTAAAAAAGTGGTGGGTTTGGGAATCTCTGGCCCAGGATGAAGTCTATAACCTGATTCAGAAGGCAGATGAAGAACATTACACAGCCCTTAAGAGGGTAGGAAAAACTACCACTTGAACTAAGCAAAGCATGGACACCATTCTGGTTCTGACATGCACACATTCAGTTAACAAGGTAGTGAGGTAAATGAGATCTGCCTGCACTTAAAATGACCATTAAGAATAATGATTCCAGTTTTGGCATTGATGAGAGTATACAGACATAATGTATAGAAAAGAATATTTACAGTCCCACTTCATGCACCAATAAATAATGCATTCACTTCTCAAAATACCAAAGCAAATGTGGGAGAGGAAATTTTCATCTATACTAGGAATTAAACTTTCAAATTATCAATTACCAGACTTCAGCTGTAAATCTACTTCAGTTGGAAGGTTTGAAGATATTAGTGAATCTGCTAAAATTCTGGAAGGTGTTTAAAAGGTGATTTTAACATAATAAAGAATCGTGCCTTAGGTATGGCAAAAAATTACAGGCACAAATGCATTGAGTACCTACGTGACAGTGCTATGTTGGGAGACTATTATGCTATTTCTAATACTCCAGATGTCACGTTTCCGTTTTCTCAATTTCTCTACCAATACCACTTACATTGTTAATTTTAAGCTATATTACTTGAAATACAACCCAGCTCATCTATTCCATAAAGTTGGTCCCAAAGTCATTCCCTCATAGGGGTGGGCTGGGAGTGGCGGAAAGCTAAATCTACTGAATAGTGAAGACCTGACCTACTGGTTTTTGCGGTATTAGCTATATATTCTTTCAGAGATCCCCAAACTTATACAAAGTCAAGGACTTGAGATACGATCAGCAGTCTATCAATTTCAAAGACCTCAGTCGTCAGCCCTTGTTTCTTCTCTTAAGGTCCCACAGCAGCGCTAACTGTCCATTTAGGTAGTAAACCATGGCCTGTTAATAATACCTTAAGTGTAAGTCCTGACGCCTACGACCTGGTCGGTCTACTCTAGGCGGAAGGCCGGAGGAGGGCACAGGGCAGGAAGACTGGTCCGCGGGGACCGAGGTGACAGCAGGTGAGAGCCGGGTGCGGAATGAGGAAGTGAGACAGGGACCGTGTGGGTATTACTCATTCGGCTACACCACTGACTTTGCTCGCATGCGGAACTTCTCGCCTCTCCTACGGTCCAGATGAGGTTCTGGCTAATTGAAATCACTTCCCATTCCAGTTCGCTCGGGGGGAAACTGTGGGTCCGCGTAAGGGAAGGTAGTCTGAACTGCAGGTAGCCTCTCGTGAGACCGCGTATCCTCCCTCAGAGGCCGAGCTTCCAAATCGCCGTTCCCCGAACCTGCTCTTCCTCTAAGCAGGAACTCCCAGGGCAGCCCAGGGCACGCCGAGCCGCCAATTGATGCGTGGGAGCGGAGTCCAACGTTGCCGAGAAAGGAGGACAGGTTGCTCGTATCCCTCGAGGGGGCAGCTCTCGGGCACAGGGTCCTGAGGAGAGTTAGCCGGACCCCTACGCGCCCCCGGCTAGCGGGTGTGGCCAGCTGAGAGGCGGAACGCGGAGCCTCCTACTTTACCTTTCTCCATCCCGCTGCCGGTCGCCTTTCTGACCTCGTACCCACAGTTTCCCAACTGTCTCCTTCCCCACCCCGCGACACCTGACGGATACTTTTTCCTCTCCCCTCGATTCAAACTCAGCTGCTTCTACGGTTGCCGCAAACCGTCCTCTCCCTAGCAACAAGGTTCCGGCCGTAGAGCAAACGGCTCTAGGTGTAAGGAAGGTGATGTCGTAAAGCCGCGAGTGTCGTAAACCAGGTGCGGTGGGGAGGGGGAAGGGGTGGAGGCGGAGGGGTGGGGGGGAAGAGGGAGGGAGGGGGAGGAGGTGACTCGAGCATTTAGACACAAGCGAGAGGATCATGGCGGATGGCCCCAGGTGTAAGCGCAGAAAGCAGGCGAACCCGCGGCGCAATAACGGTGAGTGGCGTAGGGGACCGGGGAGCGGCGGAGTCAGGGGGAGACGGGCAGCCGGGGCGCCCCGGGGGTGAGGGGGGCGAGCCGGGCTGGGGGCGGCCGGAGCAGGGACGGGCCAAGTGGAGTGGGAAAGTAGAAAGTAGTGCTCTCTGCCCCCCTCCGCTGCCGCCGCTGCCGGAGCCGCGCCGCGGCCGCCCGCTCTCCCTGAACCGTTATGTCTCTTACCTGGTCTCTCCGCCTAGCGGCTCCTGCCGCCCCTGCCGCCTCCGTGGACCGTTAGCCGCCGCCGCCGCCGCCGCATCCCCGGTGCTGGGCGGGCGGCCGGGAGGCGGCCGGCCACTTTTCTGGTCCTGGGTGGAGCGGCTGTTGCTTCTTTCGCACTTTTCCCCACTCGCCTGCCCCTCGGCGCCTCCCCCCCTCATCCCCCTCCGTGTTATCCTCCTTCAGCGCGGAGGCCCCCGGGAGCCGGGGAAGTAACTTGTGCCCCGCGCTGACCCTGCAAAGTGCCTTCCGCGCGCCGCGGCCCCGGCCGGGGCGGTCGCTGTCGCTCGGGCCCCGCGGCTTGGGCCGGGCCAGGCGGCCGGAGGCGGCGGCGGCGGCTGCGGGCTGCGTGCCGTCCGTGCGCGCGTCTGCGCGGGTCCTGGCGGAGCGCGCCGCGGGCGGACCGGGCTGGGCCGGCGGCGATGAAGTTATGACCCGCCAGCGAGGCGCGCCCGCGGAATGGGGGGCAGCAGGACGGAAGCGCGGGGCCTTCAGCGGCTCCCCTCCCTTCTCCTGGGTCCCGGGGCTGGGGACGGTGAGGCGAGCCCTGGGAATGCCGTCCATGTTCCGTGGAGAGCTGGCGGGGCGGCCGGGGACTCCGGGCTCGAGCGGGCACCTACTTGCCGCCGCGGGAGACCTGGAGCTGGCGGCGAGCTGGGCGGCGCGTGCGTTTGTGGAGTTGTTACCTGGTCTCAGAGTCGGGGAAGCACCACAGACAGATCCCCTCCCCGGGGAAGGCTGCTTCTCCGCGCCAGGATGGGGCTCTGTGCGGACGCCTATCTTTTTTTTCTCTTTTCGGTTTTTGGGGAAGTTGTTACCTGGGCCGGACGCGCGGAGCGCTGAAGCCGGGTAATGGAGCTTGGGTGGCGCGCTGGGTCTCGGGTGGAAGGCGGGTGGGGGAGGGGGCGGACAGACCCACGGACGCGCGGGTGCGCTGCAGCTGCAGTGTTTATTGATTTGTGTCCATGTGCCGGGGAAACACACACTTCCCTGCCGTGCGTGAGAGTTAAAAATAATAGTGAATAACGGGGGGGAGAGACAGCGAGAGAGCGGCAGACCCGAACATGTGGTGGTGGTTGCACAGTCGCCTTTTCCAGTTTGGAAAGACATTGTAAGTTGCTTGCATTTCTGCGTATCTCGGGGCGATTCTGTGCTCTCTCTCCCTCCTGTTCAGCAGTGAAATGTCTGCTGATTGTTATTGTCTGGACAGTTTCTGTGGTGAGAGAAGCAAGACTTGTCCGCCCGGGGGCGGCAGGCACAGGCGAGGTCTCCCACCGGCGGCCGGGTACCTGTTTGTATAATAATGGGCGGCAACGGCCCTGCTGCGGGCTGCAGCCCAGACTATATAAGGAATTACGCGTACGTTTCGGACCAAGGGACTCCTTTGGGCTCCTGCGTTATTTTTAAAACGAGTTTTAGGAGTAGGGCAATAAATGCGCCTATAATGGGATCGCTGTACCTTCCAGAAAAATGAGGAAATGTGTGTTTGAGTGCAAACTCTCTGGCGCTTCCCCGCCCCGCCCCACCCCCACCTCCCCGGCTCCCTTGCTCCCTTTCTCCTTCCCCTCTGGGATGCGAAACGCGAGGTTTTGTAACCTTTCCTGGCAATTTTAGATTTTGTGTGGGATTTCCTGTCTAGAAGCAGATACCAAGATTTTAAGCTGTTTCATGATGTTTCCTTCCAATCGTAAACATGTATTATATATTGGGCTGACACTGAAATCACTGCTTTCATGAATGGTTTTTAGTTATTCTAATAAACATTCGCTTTTTAAAGACGTTTGTTAGGACCGATAACTAATATTTGGTATCCTCATTGTGGAGAGATGACTCGTTACAGCAAGGAGCAGCGCACAGGCCATTGCAATTTAATTTCCTGTTTTAGCGTCAAATACTGTGTGTTCTATATTGAGCTACAGCCGCTGTTGCTGATGTGGCTTGTGAAAGGTAAGTTGGTTCAGCGAGGGCTGTTGGCTCTTTACCTTATTTAAAATGTTCATCACCAGAAAAAGGGGCTTTTCTTGTTGCTGACGACATGTGTGTGACATGTGAGTCTGAACCACCCAGCGTCTGTGCAGCTGCTGTAAACATGTTTACCTGAACAGGAAAGAATGGATTTTTCTTCTAAAGATCCTGTGATATGAACATTACACCCATAAGGCATATCAACAGATGACTTAAGGGAAAAAAAGCTATCCTGAAAGATACTTGAAGTCAACAGGAAAAAGAGGTTCTCGATCGCTGCAGCAAATGGCAACTTGTGCAGGTAGAAAAAAGATGGTGTTTAGTTTTCTCCTGCATGTATGTCAGCCCCCTCCTGTCTGCTGCTTTCATTCTCGAGGGAGGGATTTATTTACCACGCTTGTTGTCAGTATTTTTCCTTTGTGTTTAATATTAGAAAAACAGATTTGGGGCTGTTTAGCACAAAATGTCTTGTCTGCAGTATGCATTACTCTCGGAAAACAAAAGGTGTTTAAGATAGCACTGTACTACTACAGGTACCTTCCATTTTCATCACTTTCGGCTCATGCTTGTATTTTTTTGTTCTCAAATGCATTTCATCTAGTGCTGATGATTACAGCCATGCTGTTTTGAGATTAAGCCTTATAATCTGTGAATTTAAAATGGTTATATGCCATCGTGTTAGGAAACCTTTGGGTAGGTGCTGGTTAATATTTCTTAGCAACGCAATCATATTTAAGTTGGAGTTGTTTATGGAAGAGAATTGCTTGGGAAAAATGTTAGCTCTTAAATCTTCTGAATGACAGGGTAAAAGATATATATACAGTGAGAAATAGTCATAGAGTATGCTATTATTTATATGTAAATAATTTTTGTTCATTTTAAAATAAGGTATGCAGATTTTGCTGTTTAAGCCTCCACTAAAACATTTTAATTTTCTTTCTGGAATATATCTGCAGCGTAGGATATTAATGGGAGAATCAAGTGATGTAACTTGACAGGGGTAAACCAACTGAGCATGGTTTGGCCAGATCATCAAACCTTATGTAGTAACTTTATGGTAATGATGTTTGTCAACTACAAAGGAGTGGTATTCCAATTGCTTAAATCGATTTTTGCCATTTATAATGTAATGCTTTGTTTGTTGTATTTTAAAAATTTGTCTTCTCATTTTCCACTTATACTCTATGTGTGGTTTTCGTACCCTTTTTTTTTTAGAAATATATTCTAGCTACTAATGACGACAATCTGAATAATTCACTTTAGATGGAATAGCAGGTACCTATTTTTCTGTTATTTGAACCATTTCTACTTGCTGTCTTTGGAAACCACCAGTAGAGGATGCTAACAAAAGTGATGTTTCGTGTAGTAGTAGTAGTAGTAGCAGTAGTACCATAAGTCCCTATCTCCTGTTGATTGGGACCTCTGCATGGATAGGGACCTTTGGTGTAATTGCCTTAGTGTTATGTAAACTAGCCCTGGGTAAATTAGGCTTATGCATTTTCTAGTCTACTAAGACTGAAAAGAAGTAGGAATGTTTTAGCTTGGCCATTTTTATAAATTTGAGCTTTTTATGTCCTGAAATTGAGATTGCTATCACTTTAGTCTTGCTTTAGACCAGATGTATTAATGCTGTAAAAAAAAAAAGTTTTATATTGCTAGGTTTGTAGAAGAATATGTAATGATTGGCCCATATATTTTTTTGCATACTTAGCATACTATTTAACCTTTTTATTCATAGTAAGAACCCTGAAGAAACATTTTTACACATTAAAAGGTTAAATATGGTAAGAAAATTGCAATTAATTGATTAATAGTATTGTGTAATTGTTTTCCTATAACTTGTAGACAAACATGGGTTGGCAGACAACTGCTTAACGAGCAGTCCCTCAGATATTAGTGATTTTTAGATTTTTATCTTTTCCTTCCCTTCTACTTTAAGAATCAGAATCAGGTAGTGTATAATTTTAAATTTACCAATTATAAATTAAGGAACATAAGTTTGTTTTGGGGTTTTAAATGCAGTGTTCTAAAAGTCTCCATAGTTTGATTTTTATCAAATGCTTGCATTCAAAGAATTCTCACTTTTCAAACCATGTAAATCGGTATTATAACTTTCACTTATAAATAATTGCACAAGACTTACTGTATTTAGTTATGCTTTTTGATTTATGTTCACATAATTGCATTAATATAACTGCATGTATTAATACATTCCTAAAGGAAGTATTTCATTAGGTCAAATGTTAGAGGTATTTATTTCTGTAGTTATTTTTAATGGTGTTTCTGTGTGTACACCACTAATGCCATAATGTAATAGTAATACTGTTTATCTTGAATTAAAGTTGAAATTACCTGAATTATCAAGTAAGCCTGTGAATTTATCATTTGGGGGGTATCATGGCTCTTCAAGAGTGAGCATGTATGTGCATTGCATGTCTGCGTAAATACAGTTTTATGCTTCCTGACCAATGTTTCTTGAATTTGGTTTTCTCCTAATTTTTAGAGCTGGGAGTAGTAAATAAGTTACCAGTAAAATGGTAAAAAAAAAACAAAAAACAAAAAACCACCGTTTTAGGGAACTTTTTTAAGAAACTGAGGAACTTTACCACAAAGCCATAACATACATAATTGTAACATGGAGCAAAATTTAAAGTATCTTATAATTGAAAGCATCGTTCATTTGTCAAGATGACCCTTAGGCGAAAGCATATGAGATGTTTGGTTAATACCTTTTTCTTTCTTTCTCTAGTATCTAGCATTTTTTAATGCCATACCATATGTTTGCAGTTCTAGTAGCTTTGAAGCATGTGGTGAGAAAGTTCTATCAAGAAGTTGGGACTATTTTTAAAATAACAGCAATCATTTCTCATAGGTGTTTTTATTTTGTTTTTCCCCCTTTTTTCTTTCCCTTCTATAAATCACTTCTAAGTATGTGATTAGAGCCAGATGTAAACACAGATGCAGTATCATGTGGAATTATACTGTCAGCTACTCTTAGCTACCTGTACTGAATTGCAGTAAAGAAAAAAATCATACGATACATGTTGGAAGAAGATACATATTAGTATGCAGGAGTGCAGTGAGAGGTTAGAGAACTTGATGGAATTGTAGAAATAGTATTTAGTATGAAAAAAAAGGTTTTTTAAGCTTTGCAGCATGATCACTATTTTATGGGAAAATGTGTGTTTATTTCTAATCAAGATAAAAGCTAAAATAAAAAGTTCAAAGTTGAAAAAATTTTTTTAAATTTTTAACTGGAAAAGTGCTCTGATTAGGAAATACAAAATGGTTTTTTAAAACATTTTTAAAAAGCCTGTAAGTTTCTACAAGTTAAAGAAAATAAATGGATATACACAGAGTAAAAAAAGTTTTTTAGCAACCCCAGTTAAAGTTAAATCTGACCAATTATACAGGCATTGCTATTAGAAATAATCTTTCCTTTGGGTGGGACAGTGTTTTGAGAATTGTATACATAAAGGAAGCTTTATTGGGACATCAATTTTAACAAATAAAAAATTTCAGTATGGTGTGAGCATATCTAGATTTTAATCTTGATGAAGGTAAGTAATGCTGTTTGTTAACCTGAAACTAATTTGCTTGAAAATATGGCAACATGCTATTACTACTTAAATAGCAAAATGCTCTCTAATAAATAAAATTTGCCTTAAGATTGTTTTCAGAAAAGAAAATTGTTTAATATTTAGAACTCACTTCATTAACATAGTTAAAACATATTTTGGAGTGTATCGTTTAGGTGTAGTTTAGTTGAAAAACTCCAAAGGTAGAGCAGAAAAAGCCAAGTTCAAGTCTATAACTGTATTTTAGCTTTGAAATATTATTAGATTCTTATTTTTTTATTCTCTTAAACTAGTTTATCTCATTTACTAAAACATCTTCTTGTTATTTAATACATGTCCTCTATAATCATTGGAGTTTCATTTATCTGTCCATATATACATTTCTCCTCATAATCCACTTTGTATATTTATTGAGACTTGAGGCATGGAGTTTAAGTTATAAACTCCATGTAGCTGTTAGTAGAAGACCTTAGAGTATGGCAGCCTGGGAAAAGTGTTATCATCTGTTTTGCAGTACCAACTACATGTGTGCTGGAATTATTAGCAACAGATGGTTTGTGACCTCTTAATTCCCTCTCCCCTTCCCCTCCCTCCCCATCCATATTTAAAATTAAATGTGAATGGAAGATAAATGTGGGGATTAGGTCAATTTCTCATGTTTACTGCCGTGTTCTAAGAATATAGCAAGATCTCTATTTTCTTCTTAAAGTATTTTAATTTCAAATTTTTAGATATTTTAAATATTCCAGTTTTGGTTTTTAGGTATCTTAAATAATCCCATATCAATTTTCTATTTATAAAATGTGGCACCATTGTTGTTTAGATACCTCAGTTACTATTCATGGTCATCAACCCACAATATATTCTAATTTTCCTAATCTTTGAGATCTTTATATCCATTCGATCCACATTCTAATTGAATGTTTGGTTTTTGTTAAATGCTCAGAGTGTGGCTAGTTTATTGATTAAAATTTCATCGTTCTTTTGGAATCTTATATTTTTAATATGGAAGGCTCTTCAGAGGTTTTTTTTTTATCTGAAAACTGATACAGATAAGCTGAAATTTAGGATCTTCAAGTAGAAAATCCACAAGAGGCTTTAACGTGGTTTTAAGAAGGGGTAATAGTGACATGTGGGACAACATACACTGATACTCTTCAAAGAATAGATTGTCTGAACTTGGGCTCAAGATAACCTTACTCGCCTTAGATACTTGAAAAGGCTATACAAATCACTGTATCTCTTTAATGTTTTTTTCCTTTCTATTGAAAAACTAAGTTGCTATTCACTCCGGTTGCTACATCTTTTTTCTAGCCCTCTTAGATTGATACTCTGGTTTTTTGCTTTTTTTGTTGGGGGGAGAGTTGGAGGAGAGAACATAGTTACATATTAATAAATTCTAATTAAGAAATTAATGAAATAATTTTGGAAGGATTTGGAGAATAATCCAAGTCCATTTCTACAGATAAGAAAACAGATTAAAGAGATAAAATGACTGCTAAGGTGCTAGTACTAGTTAGCTTGGACCAGGTTATAGTTTTCAGGTTCGGAGCTCAGGTTCCTTTTATTAGACCATTTGTAACAACTGAGAACTAGATGCCATGAATTTTCAAATTTATCGTAGTTAAGACCAAGATGTGTAGAATGCTCAGTCATCTCAGATAAAAGGGTTTCTAACCACTTGCATAAATCTTACCAAATTTAATAGTTGATGTGACTG